AGTTATTCATAAGACGTATATATTTTTTTAAACCCAGTATAGTTACTTCATGATCATGAACTATATTGACTCTATCTGGAAAATAACGCATGTAAGCGAATAAGTACCTATAATTAGATATATTACAAAATGCATATCCAAATCCCAAACATTTATTAGTAGGGGTTTTTCAAAATTTCGTCTATTCGGGAACAACACACAATAAATGAGGACTAACGCTTTTTTTGCAAACTATGTCTCTTTCCGAAGGATGCTACAGGGAAATAATCTCAAATTTGTATCAAATTAAAATTTTAGGGGTGTTTCAAAATTTCGTCTAATTCGGGAACAACACAAAATAAATGAGAACTAACGCTTTTTTCGCAAACTATATCTTTTTCCGAAAGATGCTACATGGGAATAATTTCAAATCTGTATCACACTAAAATATTAGGGGTGTTACAAAAAACGTCAGAAAAGACGTAAACTTTTAATTTACCCAAAAAAAATCACATTTTCCGTGTGAATTCTATTACCCATATTTTATGGAATTATAATACGTTCTAATGAATCCGGTTTCTATTTCTAAATTAGTCCCGATAAACGCAACAATGCCGCTAATGAAGTCAGGCCTGCCGTATGATGTGTTGTCTACTGTACATTTATAAATGGTGAATGACTTCACTAAACGCTACAAGTTTTTGTAAAAAATTTCGAATGAATATTTCGTCTAAAATTTTTTGTAATTTATTTGAAAGTTTGGTGGATGGCTCTATGGTTTGCTAATGTTTTTTCTGAGTATGCTACAGGGAGATTTTTAAAATAATTTGTGTTGACGCCATTTTACCTATCACTTTTTATTGGCAGTGCTCTAAAAAATTGATTTTTCTTAAATATTAAAATTTTGTTCTGTAGCATACTTTTTAAATGTATAATTTACACGAAAAAAATTAGCCCCGTCTTTCATCTCATGTTTTACAGAATTGAGACGAAATATAAATCGCACTATTTTCGCATAAATGTTGTAGTACTGGATTACACCCTTAAACCAAAATCCCTGCAAGAAAGAAAAGCTCACAAAGCTTGTTTGTACATATTACTCTGCCCGGTGGCGGACGCCAAGTTAAGAAATCCTCGAAGAAATCTTAAAATTACTTACAGTTTTTACTTAATATTCCAAATAATCTAGTAGTAAAAGGTTTGCGATACTTCAATTTGTTTTATAAACAGAATTTTATGACAAACCAGACTGGCTTAATGAATAAGATGACATATTTTTGTTGACTGAGACCCTTAGAGAAAAGCCGCGCTGTGCTACAATTCAAAATTGTAAAATTAAAAAAATTAACTAAACTGAATAGATTTTTCTCGAAAACCAATCGACCAATTTAAAAAAATCAAACGTCAAAGTAAAGGACTTCGAAAGACCTTTCAAACAAGCTCTTACTCGATACCACTTGTCATTTAAGGGTTTTAAGGGAATGACCCTGGGGAGCAGAGAGTGAAAGGAGTGAAGTAGTTTTTGGTTAAAAGTTGTCCCCTTTGGCAAATCTTTTGACGTGTCTCGGTGTTTTTTCTTTTAATCAGTGGTTTTCGATAAATCCGTGGTGGGAGGTCCGCCTGCCCGTCACACGTACTCCTTCTAAACTACTGAACCGATTTTGGCGATATAGGATTCATTTGAAAGGGCTTGGTCCAAGGATCCCGTGCATACCCATATCTTTTGGTTTTGCGCATGCGCAGTGTCAAAAATTTGGTTTAACGCATGTGCGATGCTAACTTACTTATTTATAAAGGCATTTTAATGAAATTTTATACATAGGCATTTGGCATAAAGACAGATCGAATACCAGTTTTAAAATTTGGTTTTGCGCATGCGCAATGGCAACTTTCTTATTTATCCAAGCAGTTGAACGAAATATCATATGTAGGCACCTTGAATGAAACTAAAACTAATATCGGTTTCAAAATTACTGTAAATTACTGCATGCTGTATGTTTTATTTATGAAGGTATTCAATGCAATTTCTAATGTAGACATGCTATTTACGAAAGGATTAAAAAAAGTTCCATATGTAGACACTTCGAATAAAAGTTAAACTAATGCCCATTTCAAAATTTCTATGTATTTGTATACGCTCCACTATTTTTCATTAAACTGTATAGACTTCGACAATAGGCGGCTCATTTGAAAAAGAATGGGGTGGTAAGGATCTCGTGCCTACAGGTAAGGATGTCGAATAATAGTTCTACGTTATTTTAAGTGAATGGGAAAGTTGAAAACGCTCGGTATTGCATTATTGTTTAACACCTTCGTAGGTACCTTTCTAAAATCGGCTTCATTCCCCGCAAATGCACTATGGTGGGAGTAAATTTTTCTCTTCGAATGGCTCTGATCCATTGGCCCTTTAAACTTTTATCCGTTGAAAATCAGCATATTATTTAAAAATTTATCGACAGAGTACATGTTGATAGGCACAAGTTAACCTAAGTTTATTGGTTTATTCTCAACAGAAATTTATCTGTTCACTAATTCGAGCTAATCACGAGAATGATTAATGAACGGAACATCTAAAATAACAGCTTATTTCATTATATTGCATATCATCTCAGCGATTTTTGCCCCGCGGTGCATTGTGTGTTGCATACTGTGTCGACAACACCTTAGATACGTTAAGCGCAGTCTAGTTATAGTAAGTCTCTGGATGTAGGCCCTTCAGGGTTATATGTTATTTATTATATATTAAGTAATTTGTAAAGTTCAGTATCTTTGCCATCTTGGTTAGATTATGATCAAGTTTGAAACGCGTATGCGGTTGAAGACTGCCACTTCCTTCTGAAGAGGTTGTCCAATGAAGTACCGTACCTCGTATAGAAGCAGATATCGAGTATAGCGAGGCTCTTCAGGCATTAAACAACTAATTATAGGTATACCGAGCCCTGTGGCTTGGGTGGCTTTCTTTTCATTGATTTCAGGTTATGGATGCGAGAATTGTGCTCACTTCTTGTTTATTATCTATCTTTATCATCTAACGGTATTCCAAGGTAAGATTTGCCTTATAATATGTTTCACTTGTATTTGGCCCTATACGTGCGAATTTTTGTCCGGAATATCAATTTAATTGTGAAAAGTTGTTTTACGATTCAGTAATTAGTTTGTTAATCGTAAATCGATCATTTTTGATTGGGGAAATAAGAGTTCTGAGTAGGTAACGTAAGTTATAATTTTTAATATTTGGGGGAGTATTTTGTATTTGTGTGATACGCTATCCAATAGGGTCTTCCTGAAAGAAATATCCTAACTTTTTTTGTGTCTTACCGTAAAGTTTATAACCTGTAATTAAACATCTCATATACAAAACTTTTTTTTCTAATTGCAACATGTCAGGAAACAACATATAATATCGTAAAACTTTCAAATTTTGTCATGCAGCCGACGACATGCCGATATTGGCCGAGCGTCGCTTACGTCACTACGCAGGTTGCCGATCGGGAGTTAAACGGATGACACTGATAGGAGTTCGACTTATTATGGCACTCTGCCACAAACTGAGTTCTGACTGCTTCGTAAAAGGGCAGTTAGATAGTCTGCCAAAGGCAGAAGTGTTAATGGTCGCCGCCTTTTTCTCGAAAAGTGAGTTTTTCCATTCCACTCGTTTGAGTGGAGTCAAAGCCCGGAGGCAAGTCTGTTATGGTTATGGTTCATAGGAAGTATAACATCAAGTTTTGCGTCTATAGTGCAAGGTATAGTGTAGGTACCTAATAAAGTATGCACCATACGGATTTCAACGAGAAATTATGGTGTTGGATATGTGGAAGTGAAAATAGAGAAAAATGTGTGCACTGTAAGGGCACGGATATGCCCAGAACACAGAGTTCGAAGTAAACCATATTCTGAATTACAATATTATATATCGATGGATTTTCGTCGATAACTGACTGAAAGTAAATCGACATTATGTACTTTAATTAATTAGAATCGTCTTCACAACAATACAAATGGGACGTCAAAGAGTCACTCGCGTATCACGTCGAACTTTTTTCGTATATTTCCTGCTGGGACGTTTATAAACAATTTATTATGTTCGCGATGACTTCTGTTCTGCCAACGTGCGTAGTGACGTCACAGCAACGTGGCGGTCATTCGAAACTTTTTCAAACGCCGTTCATTTTAAAATCGTGTTTGCTAATCACAACGATTTCTCTTGACAAAAAAATGAGTACCAATAATTTTTATAATGTGCTTGGAGTTCATTTTCAAGGATTTTGAAAAATCGCGGAAAACCCAGTGGAGACAATTGGTATTTTTTACATTTGATGTTTGAATAAGCCAGCATTTCTTTTGGTCCCTAAACTGATTTATAATGTTATTACTACCATCTTATCTTCTCAATTTCAAACGGGCAGAGTTAAGATAGAAATTGAATGGTGCGCAACCCCAATGGTAAGTGCAACGAAGTTGAGAAGATCAAATGTCCAGACCTGTGGAAGATCTCCAAGCTCTTATTTTGTGTTCCAACTCTGAGCTAGTTGGCCGTTTATGCGGCATGTTCCAGGAAACGCGGCAGCGCTAACTCTAGCAACCGTTATACGTTTTAAAATTTTTCCTACCAAATTTTGCGACTCGATTTTGTTGAAAATAATGTTCATTTTAATAATACATGCTAATTTTTTTGTATTTCAAAAGATTTTCAATTTTGTTACATGTCTGGTTGCTGTTCTTCATTACGCCGGTTTGCATATTTTCTGTGCCGCGAAGTGAACTTGTGCTGTAGGTTTTGTGTGAAAGGATCATAAAATGAGCTTGAGCTACCTACTAAAGAAATTATACAAAGTTTTGAGTACAGGACTTATCCACAATGGCAGGTTTTTAAGTGTTATCTTAAGGACTTAATTATTTTATAGTAGTTTCCTAAGCGGTATAAGCACCAAACGCGTATCACTTTTGTTTGGTGTAAACTCTTCAAAATTATAATGCGGTATTGTAAACATTTTGTTTGGGCGTTTAATTACGTAGCAGCAGATATAAGAGTGACCAATTCCGAAATACTTCTAGTTAAACTGAAACCGTTGAATCATACAACTTGAATTCTACTCACTTTTAATCTTTTTGTGTACATTTCGAAATCAAAATGCCTGGACCGTCAAGACCATTGTGGCAAGTAAGTACAAGAATCACAATACTTTCCCAATCGAAATTCGACCCTCTCTGTGTTTCTGTTACCTACTAAAATCATATTTACAAAATACTTCACTTGCCAAAATAACTTCATAAATTTTGCGTTCTAGTTTTGTAACCGAAATCTTAGATTAGCACAATAATGGATTTGCGAAATGCGTACGCGAAGTTTTTTCAAAAGGTTGTAGCGAAATTTGATCTCTAAGTATTGCCGTTTTTTGATTAGCTTTAGTAATGAATCATATACATGGGAAGGATATTTTTAAATCCATAAGTTTGAAAACGGTGTACGTTGTACCACGTGTTGGTCTAAATATAATTATTTTCTATTCTGCACGTTTATGAATCATTCCTTTCCAAATATTTGAGTATATGTACGGGTTTCTACCACGTAAATTAAAATTATCGATTAACAAACTAGATTTAGAGCTTCCAGTAAGGATTTAGAAAACCTTTACCTTCTGCGAACGGATATTTTCCCTTTTTGTTTTAAATGAGTTTAGGTTAAGGTTAAGATATAACACACTACCCCAAAATTAGTAAGTGTGTCGTGGATGTTTATGCCAAGATTTCTAATATAAAATATTGTGGGCGACTGTATTTTTATTTTCTGATAACAATTGTTACATTTTTTGGTAATTTTATTTTTAGTTAAAACGAGATAAATTATTGTTGCTCCGATCGTTTTCTAAACTACTCTTTCATTCTTTACAAACCAAACCAAAATATGTGAGGTGGGCGAATCACTCGCTTGATAGTGGCATCAAGAGTCGCCCAATCATGCGGCAATGTCAATGTGTCTATCTCAAAGATCTTTCTGATCGCGGTGGATTTTTGTTCGCTAGAATGTCATGCCATTTTGCAGTTTATTCCCAGAGTTTGCGCTACGTAATAAAAGCAATATTGTTGCGTTGGGTGGAAAATCCATGTTGATGTTCAATTGGTGTGATACCAAATGGAGTAAATCGACAGTATAGTAGGGGAGCTAGCACGAAATCCACTGAACGAGAATGATCAAAATTTTAACCGATGGAGTTCCGTTTTGCCCTATCAGAGTATGCTCAAATCGATCGCCTGCCGCCTCAGGTCATACGACTTAAGGCGCTGCGGGTACTTCTTGTGGTACCAATTCTGAAAGGTTGTTTTTCGAGAAAATAAGTTATACACCAAATGAAAACGTTGATAATAGCTCTTAAAAAAATATTTTAAAAAATCGCGCACATTTGATAACTCCGTAAAAAAACAATTCTTAGTCGGTTTTTCACGAACTTTCTACGGATATAACTAGGTTACCGTTGGAAGAATGAAGCTGATTTTTTTTACAGACTAATGAGAGGTACAGCCAATGACTATGAGAGTGTTTCTTTTTTAAATTTTTTCTCTAATTATAAGTTATCTTATTAATAAGATAATCTTGTAATTAGAGAAAAAATTTAAAAACGAAACACCGTTAAGTCATTAGTAGTACCTACCTATCATCAGTCTGTAAAAAAAATCAGCTTCATTCGTCCAACCGTAACCTAGTTATATCCGTAGAAAGTTCGTGAAAAACCGACTAAGGATTGTTTTTTTACGGAGTTATCAAATGCGCGGGATTTTTTTAAATTTTAAGGTATTGGGAACTTTTGTTCCAAAAGTCGTATTTAAAAACTATTCAGCAATTTTGTTGTTAAATACTGATCACTCACTGCCGGACCAAGAAATGCAACCGAATATTTTTTGGATTTTCAAAAACTAATTGTGATGCTGAAAGACCACCAAAATACCCTGCAATTTCATCTAAATCAGAACATTTTCTTCATACGTCTTATGGTTCTTTAGGAGACTTTTTAGACGAAAGATTGGCGACCTTCGCTCGGTTTATTTGAAAGTAGTTTATTCTGATCCTCTCTACCGCCTGATCCTTTTGGTACAACTAAAATGTAACACACTGTATAAATCGCACTATCGCATTTTATTCAATTTGTCCTACTGTTGCGGAATCTTTAGAATGTGTCTATTAACATGGAAAGCGCGTTTTTCTAAGTTGTATAGGTACATATATAACTTGTATGATTCATGCCGAGAGTAATTTATATTTCCAACCGTACCCTCCGTTACCTACGTTTATGTTACACCATAGAGGAAATTGTACAGTCCCGATGTGAGTAAAAGAGTCGCAGACTTCAAAATAACCTCAAACGCGCAAGATGTTACCTACGACCTCTTTCACCACGATGAAGGTCTGAAGAATCAGAATGACTTTCTTACTGATGTAAAGTATACAGGGTGACAATTTGACAAACTTACCACCCCCCATATCTTAGTAAATAAACGAGATATTTAAAAAAATCAAAATCCGTTTCGGTAATTCGGAGGGGGAATCACAATGACATAGTTGGCGACGCACCCCCTCCAACCCCCTGCGCCCCAGCCACCCCAACTTTTAAATCTTAAATAGTGACCCCCCATGTGTGATACGTCGTTGGGAAGCTCTGAAAAAATGCTTTCCAACCATACCAAATAGCATTACATTTGGGTTAGTAATTATCGTGCAAATCAAAAAATAAACTAATATGATACATTTGAAATCTGTCGTATTTAAAACGCAACCGGCGAACATTAGACGAACTAAGACAGAGAATAATTCAAGAATGTCGAAATATTGCAAAACCAACATAGGAAAGGTTCGACAAGAGTTTTAGAATAGATTATAACTGGCGATCAAAAATGAGTTGCTGCGAGTCGGCTTTGGAAGTTCAAGTTAAATACGATTTTCCATGTTTATTTTTTGATTTGCACGATAATTACTAACCTAAATGTAATGCTATTTGGTATGGTTGGAAAGCATTTTTTCAGAGCTTTCCAACGACGTATCACACATGGGGGGTCACTATTTAAGATTTAAAAGTTGGGGTGGCTGGGGCGCAGGGGGTTGGAGGGGGTGCGTCGCCAACTATGTCATTGTGATTCCCCCTCCGAATTACCGAAACGGATTTTGATTTTTTTAAATATCTCGTTTATTTACTAAGATATGGGGGGTGGTAAGTTTTCAAATTGTCACCCTGTATGATTGATGCTATGCGACTGCGCATAGAAATCCATTCTCCGAGTTTGAAAACGAACTCGGCAATCTGGAAGGTGCAATAAGTGATAAGATAAGCAATCCGTAGCGCTTAACTTATAGAAGAAAGTGCGATGATTCAATACAAAACTTACGTAAAGGAGATCATCATCGATAGGACTAAAGCAATTGATGTTTCTATACATAAAATATCTTCCATCTGTTCCAAGCACCAAAGCGGAAGAGAACACAGCCACCAAAAATTGGAAGGTTAAAGCTGGATTCACATGAATATGAAATCCGACGATACGATCATTCGAAATGCTTATGATTGATCAATAATTTGAAATGTGCTTGACATTTCAAACTATTGACCAATCATAAGCATTTCGGATGACCGTATCGTCGGATTTCGTATTCATGTGAATCCAGCTTAAGAGAAACTGCGTCTGTTCTAGGCAAGATGTACCGGGTGACCCAATAAGACAGTTCCTCAGCCATATCTCGAGAACCGTTCGTCATATGACTTAGGGGTAAAAAAATTATTGGGTAAATAGGTCATGAAGAATCCCTGGATAATATTTTCAAATTCTAAAAAAGACCAACAGAGGCCGTAACTGCCATCTTAAATTTTAAAATTGCATTTTCTTGAAATTTCGCATAATAAACTAAAAAAATTTTTTCACATTTATAAAGAGAACCAGTTTATCTATCATTTTCGTAAAAACAAAAACTCGGGTATAAACAAAGATGGTGTGGGGCGTTCAATTGTTTTTGCAATAACTTACTTTAACTTCTTAACTGTTTGATCGATTTTAACAAATTTGGTATGGTTGAAAAGAGCATTCCCCGGGTAACAAGAATCAACCAAAATATAGTTAATTTAGTTGAATCCTTCTCCGCCAAGGGACTAGTTTTGACACTATGATGCAACATCCTAAAAAAATCAAATGGAATAATATGACCTTTTCTTTATGAAAAAGTAACCAAATAACATCCAAAGAGGCCAGTGAAAACCGTTTTTCAAAATCTCGTTACTAACCTCAAATATTGGGAAAATGAGATTAATTAATTAATTAAAATGCTTATATTGTACCTATCTTAAATTTACTTTTTACGTATTTCCGGTATTTGTCGATAGCACGAAAGAAAAGCACCCAACACTTTTAGGTAGGCCTTGGAAAATTAAACAAATGAAACACGATGCATTATAAAATAATAACAGCCGTAATTTGTAATTATTCTGCTGTGTTTACATTCAGAAAGTGCACTTTTTTGTAATCATTTCTAAAATGCTGATTTAACCAAGAAGCATTTAATATGCTGGCGATATATTTTGAGTATTTTCAAAATGCGATCATCGCTGCCCACATCTTCTATTTTCGATATCTGAATCGACCAGGAACCATCGCGGTCAGTATATTAAATGCTTCTTGGTTAGAAATTTTGATTTTTGTGGCACTTTTTGTGCTTCACAGGTAAGGTTTTTTTGTTCTAAGTTAGGCTGAAGGTACTTTTTGTTGAACATTGTCATATTAAGCGATTTATTTAAATACAGAAGTTAACCGCACAAAATTGCTTATTTGGCAATTTATTTAAAATGTTGCGCGATCCCTCAAATACCTACCAGGATCCCGCGGGATTGAGATTTTGCTGCGGGATTGCATTCCCTAACCCCAGGGTACTTAAAAATATTACACTGTTGTGATACAATAGCGTTAGAGAATCTGAGATACAATTTACTATTTGTACAGAACCTATTGTTGCAATATTTCTAATACCGGGCGATTCATTAGAAGTGATGATCGCTTGAATTTCGCGCGTAAGGTTTTAGTATTTTTTGCATTATTAGATTGACGGTTTGAATTTCGTTAGTAATTTTTTTCTGTCATGACTGTCATTTAAGAAACCAGTGTCGCCGTTAATTGTTGTGTGCCATTTGCGGTTTATACTTTTTCCATTTTGAACAAATTTTAGAGTTGATGCACTAAAATATGTAAGAAACGTGACTGTGTTTAGTGTTAGTTTATAATTTGTGGTAAAACAGAAGCAGTATTTGTAGATTATAAATAAGTAAACGTAATTAAATAAATGATCATCAGTTAGTACCAACTTCATAATTTTTTTGATTTGCGGGAAATTCAAATTGTCCTCACTTCTAATGAATCACCCGGTATTTCCTTATTACAGAAAATGTATATGTTAAAAAAAACTGTCTAACCATTACCTACACTTTTGTAATCAACATAGTAGAAGTTTCTCTGTTATTGTCCAATTTGTTTCTACTCGACCCCCTTTAAGGTACAGTAAAAGATGAAAAAGAAACACGCAAATTTTGGTAGTAACAATTATTATCGTATAAAAACTGAAGCATAAACAAATACAAATTTGAAACATTTCTAATCAAAATCAGGTACAAAGAATGTGGCAGGAATGTTGTTGAATACTCGCTGTAAGATGTCCAACATGATATCTTCAATCGTTTTTACCAAAATTGGATATAAAGAATCGGATACTAGATTCCAATTTGTATTTAAATAGGCGTTTGTCGACTCTTCTGCAATTGAAATGGCCATAAAAAGCTATACTTATGTACACTTTGTCATAACTAAAATTTGCACCTTCTCGCATCTTAGTACCCCTCCCTGTAAATTTTGAGCTCCCTAATCTGTTCGTTCGTGCACTACCTTCAGTATTTCTGATAGAGATTGATGGCCGTTTGCATCGACAAATTTAAGTGGAGCTTAGGCTAAGCGTAGCTTAAAATCCATGGCAACGATTATTGAGACAATAGTTGCCATTTAAGCTATACTTAAGCTAAGCTCCACTTAAATTTGTCGGTGCAAACGGCCATGAAGCCAATATTATTGTAGATCGGATTAGAGGAGTTGCAAATGATGTACCAAACGACCCATGTTTCCATTAAAACTTTTGAAAAGGTTGTTACCCCACCTAAGAGGACGCGAATAAAGATTTGAAGGTGGAGCAAAATTTGGTCGCACTTCAATATTTTTGTTTTTATTTAGAGGTGCAAATTTTGGAACGCACTGTATTTGCGTACTAGGTACTTACCTAAAGATTTAATGCCATCGAACAAGTTCCCCATGTACATCTTCAAGCCACCAAGTTTATACTTTATGTGGACCCCAGTCAGGTTGTAAAAATTCAATCCATCTTTCTTATAAAGATCGACGTCACTTTTTACGTGGATATCCAAGTCCTCTAAAATATCATGGGTGATTACCGGATATTAAAACCTTGTCGCGGTTACAAAAGGACACAGAAAAGTGTGGATAGATTATACTCACTACGAATATTAATACTCATATACGTACTTGCTTCAAACCAACATTTTCCTCTCCCTTGAAGCGGTATAACAAGGATTCGTCCCAAAAGAACGTAATTGCCGTCGATTCGTAACTTTGGTAAGTGTAACTTCGTATAGAAATCATAGTCCTTGGGGTCCACTAAATTTGACACTATATGGGTGTGTCCAAAACCTCGCACGGTTACGTTTGTTAAAGATGCATTAACATTGACCGGTCCAGCTCCTTGTAAAATCTATAAATAAACAGCAATTATAATTCAGTTGCTTAAACAAATTATAAAAATCGACGTTGTGAACATCTAATTAACGTGCAAAGAAACAGACCTATGTAGGTAAAAAAGCGCCGCCAATAATGCAAATAGTGCAAAACCAAATTTGGAACCTGGTGTTAGTTTTGCTTTTATTTAAAGTGTATAAGTATGAAATTTCATTTAATTGCTTCCATAAATAAGAAAGTTGGCACTGCACATCGTGCACAAAACCAAATTTGGGAAATGGCGCTACATCTGCCCTTATTCCAAGTGGTTATGTATCAAATTTCATTTAAATATCTTCATAAATAAGACAGTTTGCAATTCGGTTTATAAATGGTCGAAATGCGAAGAGGACAGTGTGAATGCTGATCGATTACGCTCAACTTTTGGAATTGCTCGAACTGCGCAACGCCAACTTTTTGGTTTATGGAGATATTTCTTTGAAATTTTAACCATATATGCCTCTAGCCACTGAAATTACTCGCTTTAGGGCGAAAACCTTTTTACTTGTTTTTCATACCTATTAGCATATCACGTTGTTATAATGAATTCTTTGAATACCATATTTTCTAAAAGACTAGAACCGAAAAAGAACCGTTATGGACGGAAAAAATGATTAGAACCGAACCGTTTTTTTAGAACCGAAAGCAGTCCGGAATCGTTATAAATATTTTCGCTGAAAAATAAGTAAATAATGAACCCACCTATTTATGCCGCAAATTAAAATACAGAACTGATGTACATACGCTAAATTTGAGAAACAAAGGTTTGCTTACACCTCCCTCGCAAGCCACAGCTATGTATGAAAGATCTTTTACCTACAACATCAGCAAATGGTATAATTCTTAGCTATGGGCTTCAAAAGCATGCTTTACAAAAAATTTAGATCAGATATCATGTCGACGTTATTGCAGGAACAATCTTCTTCTAAATGATATTTTATAATTTAATTTGAGATTTATTTTTGCTAGACATATTATTTTTAATTTTTTTATTTTCTGTTAATGAACGGAATCACATGGGTTAGATGGAAGAGCAGAAATGGTATGTTTCATTCCATTACAGAATCTCGCCCTTTGTACGCATTTATAATATGTAATTAACCTATATAGGTACTTATTAAAGACATTTATTATTAAATATAATCACCACCGGAACCGTAATTTCATTTCGGTCTGAGTCCCTGGGCCTAATGCGTTTAATTTTAGGTCCAGTGACAACACTCTCTTAAAAAGTTCTCGTTAGTTGGTAGCAATTTGACGAAGTGTAGGAATATTAGCAATATTGCTCAAGTTAGTAGTTAGAGAATGACAAATTTGTTCGACAACAAATAAATTCAATCTTGCTGCTTTACCACCAACGAAACACGCTGTGCGGTATCATGCGTTTGGGACATACCGTCTAGTTAAAAAATGGTATGGAATCGAAAAAAAAAGGAGACTGGAAACTTAGGAAGCAGTGGGCTTGTTCCACTCTTAATGACAGAGCAACGGGCAGACGACAACTTATTGAAATTTATTTCATGTACCTGTCGAAAGGGATGCAGCGCAGCATAAGGTTTCAGGAACTGGGTGCTCAGTTGTGTGTGAAAGATGATAACGAAAACAGTGGAAGAACAATGTATTGCTAAGAAGTACTCATGATGATAACAATCAAAACATCAACATAAACGGTTAGGACCATCAAAGAAAGGAAAACGCTAATGATATTATCGCGCGGTTCAAGCGCCATTTCACGGCGTTGTGAATTAGGTCTATCGAGGATACCATAACCGAGAAAACGCGCAACGTTCTGTACCTCAAGGTGGTGTACAAATGAGTACACTTTGGATTTACAAAATATTTCCGCCTCTACAACTTGTGGAACATAAAAGTACAAAAATGTTTATTACAAAAATCTCAACCGTTATTCCGTAAGATCAACCGCTGCGGAGTTATTTTAACAAACCTATTTTTTGTACTTTTCATCCAAAATGGCGGGGCGAGAAGTATCCCCCAAAGTCGAAAACATGGTTTTTGTTTCAAGACCCACACATCAACAACTACACCACCTTTTGTAGGGCGAAAATCCCTACTGACTGAACTAGATTCTTCTCCGTTGATTTAATAGGAGTTTGAAGCGCAGGGTTGAGCTGTTAACAGCCAAATTTATGGTAAACTCTGATTTGAACTAGCGCTTTCTCAAAATCCACGATTTTCAGAAGCCGACATTACAATTGGATTGTCAAACAAAAAAACTCTCGAGTCGTACAACAAATTAATAACTTAATCCTAACATTTAGATTTTTCCGGAGACACTCCTGCCGTTAGCGTTCTAGACGACCTCTTAATATCGGGAACTTGTTTCTTCAACGTATAAAATGGAAAAGGGGGCGAAAATAAACGTTTTTTCAAGTACTAAGACGAATAAGACTCCCAAATATTATAATTGGGAGGTAAACGCTCAAAGTTCCAAAATTTGAGTTTCTTGTTAATTTTTTTCGGATTTATCTGAGTTTTAGCGATATGCTGCACAATGATAGCAACCAATCAAAATTTATTTTTAAAAAAATTGAAAAAAATTTTCAACGAACAACCTCTCTTATCGCGATACACACTTTGGTACAACTCAAAAATTAGTATACCGTCACCGTCTGGATTATGTCCCTTCATTAGTCATTACTCATACACTAAGAGCTTTTCATTCAACACATCTTTAGTGAATTACATAGCATGAGCTCGGGCTAACATTGGCACAACAATTTGGCGGGATCACAGAATGTCAAAACTTTTCTTCTTAATAGCATTGAATAGTCATGTGTGATTTCAATTCAATTGTACGGCACATAAATATAGCATAGATTAATTGCTAAATCATTTATTACATTAGAATTACTTAGGCAATTTCGATATATTTGAAAGGACAATTAAAGATAGGAGAAAGTTGGTTTGATATCGGTGTTATTTATTAAGTGTGTAATTAGGTACCTGTATGACTGTGCACTAATTACGTAGATTACCAAATTTTAAATACTTGACTTGAATTTAATTAGAAAAAAATTATTGTATGACGGCAACACCATTAGCTGTTGTTCTAAGTATGTCCGCATTTATCTTGGTGGACTAAGGAATCCCATCCGCTGCTTATAATAGGTACCTACCAAAATACTAGCGATTTGCAAAACTACGGTGTTGAATAAAAGATTAAATACAGCTGTACCAATTTTTGTCAAACGCTGCCTGTTTTATCTCTGTAGTTAGAACATTCAACGACAAAATGTAAAATAAAATTCCTTCTCACCTTTTGCATTTCGCGTCCTACATACCTTTTTAAGTGTTACTCAAACATATAAATTAAACTCAAGCTCAATATAAGTAGCCTAGACGGAAAATGCTGCTCCCACAATATTGCAACATGATTGGCTATGCCTGCAGTGCAGCTAAAATGTTCGAATATTGCAAACATGCAAATTGGGATAATCTAAGCAATAATTTCGGAATATGCGTTCATTAGATGTTAATTTAAATTTTTGAAGTATTATATAATAAAATTTGTTTAAGTAAATTCGGTACACAAATTTACTGCAAAATGCAATCTGCTACTTGAGTACATGATCAATAACTAAGGTTTACACACTAGTTGCAGGTAGATTTAGATCTAAGCATTCAAATTAATGTTTATTGGTTTACTGCAATAAATACCTTTTATTTTAAATCGTAAGTCAACAGAAACCAACAAGTTTTGTGCAATCAGTTTAAAATAATGAAGGAAAGTTAATATAACTACATTATTTAAATATCTAATTCCAATTATGAGATGCACAAAATACTCACTTTTATCACCGATACCTTCAGCGGGTCGAGGGGTTGCAATCCAATGCTGGGTATACCCTCCGGTAATTTATTGAATAATCTTTGTACCGCCTTAGTTGAGCAAGCTTCAAAATTTTTTTCTTTTATGTGGCACGTTTCGACGAAATCGGCTGTAACATTTCGATGTGGCTTAAAAAAAATTTAGAGTAAGTACTTACGCTGCTTGTCTATGTAAGAATATCCCGACCGAAAGTAACAGGTGATCAACACTATCAGAAGCCACATTTTAAAATGTACAAATTCGTATTACAGGGTTCCAACGGTGGTTATTCCTCAATACCGCCACAAACACTTTCACTCTTGATTCTGGTCCATATAGCATACGTTACATAACTTTTATTTGTTTGTGTTCTTACTATGAGGAGTACTATATTAGTTAATGCTCTACTGACCTACCTTTAGTGCACGAATAGCGCCAATAACTGGTTTTATTTCATTTTACTATTATTACATAAATTTTATATTCGTCGCGATTTTATATAAAGAAAATTAAGCAATGCTTTTTTTCGACACAAAATAAACACTGAGTGTAGGTGACATAACACATAACTTCTGTAACACTCAACTCTCAAGACGGGAGTTAGTTGTATACAGACGTATCTTACTATAACGCAAAAAAAACCGAAAATAATACTATAATGGTAATGCGCCAATACGTTTTGTGTGCCACAAATTCTTCCTTTTAGAACTACGTACCCAAGTGTTCAAAGTGTCATATTTTCACCCCAATTAACCAGTTTCCTGAAAATTCAAAAGAATCTCAAACGTGCAAAATAATAGCTAAACACCTCATTTGCAAGTCTTTCATGTAATTTCCTTTGCCGAAGTAAAAACCCACTTCAAAAACTATGCGTCGCTCTAGAGATCTATATACTGATTAATTGATTACCGTGGTACGGAGTTATGTATATTTCGAACAGAACATTCTATCTAGACATTAAACTTCCACAAATTCATAGTACAGTTATGGAACAGTTTCCTTTTTCAAAACTTGCTAGATTTAAATGAAAACTGAAGTAGGTTTTTTTTAAACGAAAGTATTTCGATGAATGTTAAAGCAATTGGGTATTATCACATTTTTTAAATGGTACGTCAAGTAAAAGTGTAGGTATGAATGTAATCGTGTACCTACGGCATATAAAAAAATTAAATTCAGCGCATATTAGCGGAAAAATGGTTTTGAAGTTTGAATTTATATTTTTGCGCCACACCCACACCTCTTCGTCTTCAGAAAAACGCGCCCAGTATGTCCTCTTCTTTCTTTTTGTAGATTCTCGTTCAACTTCCAGCGCCAATGCCAAAGCAATCTCTGTTCAGTGTTCATAATACACCATATTTCAATAGAATAGGTCATTTTCATATAACATTGCTAAAAATTTAAGATTCCTCCTCATCCCAAGCAATTGTACTTGTCCCATTTAAATTTCACGTTAAAACTTGGCCCTAAAAACAAACTATCTCATTCCGCAAAAACCCAATATGGGGTCCAAAGAAATAAGAAAGTAGTACCTTGTAGCTTCCTTCTGTCTTATTGTGCCATGGTAGCTTCTACGTCTAGCGTGTTATGGAAATGGCAACAGATTCACATTCTCCTACAAAAAGTGTCTATAGAGCGTGCCAACGGGAATTGTCCATTTCCAACCGTTTAATGGCTACGGTGAAAGTTACAACGATGGATGAATAAGTTTTGGGATTTTATCGATTATCAAATTTCTTGTAAAATTCATGACACAAGGTGACGCACGCCTAAACGGGCAAAAATTCTATAAAATTTTGTCTTTGAATAAGAAAATTACGAATCTGAAATTAATTCTTAGAAACTAAAAAAATACCACTTAGTCGGTCAACGAAAATTCCACGAAATATATTGTGCACATATTTCAGGAGTTAAAATTGGCGAACAGTTTTTAAAAAATGAAAATTAACGATAAGTTATGATATATGTAATTTTATACAGTAATTTTATACATTTGAAAACCTCCCACCACGGATTTATCGAAAACCACTGATTAAAGGAAAAAACGCCGAGACACGTCAAAAGATTCATCACAGGGGACAACTTCTAAACCAAAAACTACTTAACCCCTTTCACCATCTGCCCCCCAGGGTCATTCCCTTAAAACTGTTAAATGACAACTGGTATCAAGTAAGAGCTTGTTTCAAAGGTCTTTCGAAGTTCTTTACTTTGAGGTTTGATTTTTTAAAATCGGTTGATTCGTTATTTAATTTATTTTATCGACCCATCTTAATTTGTGCAGATAGAAAACAAACGAATCACTTATTTATTGCTATGGGAAAGAAAGAATTTAATTTGCTGTCAGTTACCTTTGTGACAATCTTGGGATAGTGAAAAGGAATTTATTGATTCAGATTTGATTTAAGATAAAGATTTTTCAATTTTTCTCGAAAACGAATCTACCGATTTAAAAAAATTAAACGTCAAAATAAAGGACTTCGACAGTCCTTTCAAACAAGCTATTACTCAATACCGCTTTTTTCCTTTAATCACTGGTTTTCGATAAATCCGTGGTGAGAAGTTTTCAAATGAAGACCCTGTATATATTCTCCTTAACGGTTGAACGGATGGATTAGCTTCACAATTGGGCCCGATCGGATCATAGGATTTTTTTAAAAGTTTTTTTGTTGATGTCACACTCTGCTATTTCGCGTACCGATCGATACATGCTCCTAGTCACTTGCGGCGTATTGTGCCGATGTGTTTCTATTTTTTTTACGCCCACCTCAATGCGAAAGGTACGGCCTATTTTTTTTCTAGAGAAATTAGTAGTTATGAAAAACCTTTTCTTTGAAAAACTTCGCCTCTGCAAATTACAAATCGGTAGTGATTCCATCTGCCTCAGTAACATTTTCAAAAAAATTACCACCTACGTTCCATTCCCGCCATACACCCAGTAGAAAAAAATCTGGTTACGTAAAATCGGGCGATCTCGGTGGCCACGCTACTGAACCGCCTCTTCCGATCTATCCATTGGAGAAAATTACGTTATAACGGCACGGTTGAAGTGAGGAAGTATTTTTTTAGTGTTTTACAATTTTGAATTCAAATTTCGTGCTATTTTTTCCAATTTTTAAACACTAATCAGATGAGTGGTTTTCTTGTTCATAAATCCTCAGATACCAAGTTTGGTTGAGATAGACACATTTTTATACAATCGCTAAGGACATAGGTACCTAAAAACCTATTCAAAGGCGTGCCACATGTCAGTGGCTCTTATGGTTGCCAAAAATCCAAAATTTGCCACTTTTTAAGGGTAGCTCCCAAAACACGTTGGGTCCTCAGTTCCCCCTGTATCACCCAATTTAAACTGGCGTATAAATGACGACGCATCAAATTCTTATCTCGGTGTGTTCCCAATAAAATCAATGCTAAACAAAACAAGTATAAATTGTGTCCAACTCTTTTGCAGATAAAGCGCTTTTGTTTGGCATCACCAATGGATATATTTCTTGCAGACGTCTCAATCGCCCTTTGTGAGCACCCTCTTCCGACAATCCGTTCTTGAGGTATAAGTAATATAGGTACCCGATCACGATAAGAGGTCGAGGAGGAGAGCTATGTTTGGTAGAAATTAATTCCTTTCGTTGAGGCCTTTCATTAGAGTACCATGTAGGTTTGTGTCATCTGATGGTCATTTGTATTGAAGGAGGTAAAGACAGATCATGTAGACAAAATCACAAATGCACAGAAATAAAACAAGAACAAGTTATGACAGGCGTTGATCTAACATATTTCTAATGCACTTTCACTTAAAAAAAATAAAAAGTGCACTTTTTCGCTCTTGATGTCTGCCTGTCTGTCTGTCTGTCTGAGTCACAAAGGCTCCGGAACTACACCACTTACAGGCTTGGGATTGGTGTCATTCGATCAAAAATTAAAAATTATTTCGTATGAAATGTTCATAAGGGCACATGCGGTTTAACGAATTTTTTTATGTTGATATTAGCAAACCTTTATTTGAAAGTGAAATAGAATTTCAGCGTGTAAAGCACATCTGCCATTTCAAAAATGTCCAGAAAGTTCTTTCGCTTTCCACTTTCATGAAATAACTCTCAGCATGTAAAACGGGCTCATTCATAGTTCTTTCGGAAATGCACCTGGCGTCTAGACTATACGCAGAAATTTTTATCACTTGTATCGAGTTGATCCATATACTTACAGAGATATAGGTATCTCTGTCCATATAAGAGCCCCAGCTTACATTGAAAAATTCGCCGTACCGATATCATATCGCGCCGACTCGCGACATTTCGACGAACTACTGCAGCAATCTACCGAGAAAAATATTCTGGACTCCGAAAAATTCCAGCAGAGTGAACTGGCAGAACTTAAACTTATAACTGAAGCATTGAATATTAATTTTTTATTCAATGACTGAAGTAAATGAAATGAATACAGAATTTCAGAATAGAAGAGAAGAATAACAATGACAAATCTGCCGAAAACAAGCCACACTATTATACCACAATTTTATATTTTACGGAGATGTAGATACTCTAAATGCGCTATCAACCACTTTTCGTCTAAGAAATCCGTCTAAGTGACTGTGGGCTGTCATATTGTAGGCATCCAAACGTCCCGTATTCAGCGGTTGTTTGGGAGGTTAAAAATTAATTTTATTTCTCATTGTTTTCTACCAACTACTGCCCTTCTTTCTGTCCCCTTATCATGTTAAAACAAAAGCTATTTCGATTTAAAAAAAATGCGTTTATCTGCACAAGAGTTCTGCACAATTTATACTACTAAACCAATTTGATAGTTCCCTGATAAAAAGATCACACATAAAATTGTATTATCACTTATAATTGCACAAGAGGTTTGTATTTTACCGAGTAAATTTGGGTTGCTTAAGTAATGGAAATCTGTTGCCTATAGCAATTAGACGAGAAAAACTGTCAACTAATAAAAATGCGACACCGCAACACCCACAAAAGGCCGATTACAGATCTTAATTCAGTTCAGCAATTAAAAACAAGTGATCGCTTGTGTTCCGGGTTTCGAAAATTCGACGAATAAAAGTGATGGGCAGCAACTAGTCTATAATTCCTGTTCAGTAAACGGACTTTAAAGTTGGGTCACTAAACACTTTTTCTTAGACGGTAGATATATGGTTGTTTTAAATATAGACTCAAAAAACTATTCCAAATATCACTTTATTACTTATAACGAACCAAAAAACGAGGACCCATGAATTCCATTATATCGTTATATTCTACACTTTTGCTAATTTCTATGCCATATACCTGCCTCGGTACGTGGTTTCGGGGGTTACGAAGTTATTGCATGTAATAAAAGAAACAATATTAAGCAAATAGTGGTAATTTGTCCTTTCATAATCTTATTTTTGCAATGCTTATATTATTAGGATGATTATTAGATATCTACTTTCGATTGTTGATGTAAACTAATTGTGTAGGTCATAAAATTAATTACGTATTAATTCACTTACAATTACCGTAATTACGAAAAGGAATAATTACGCATTATTACACCACAGAAAATTGG